AGACTTTTAATCTACATTCAACAAATAGATAATCCCCAGTGCTAAAGTTCTACAATCTTCTATTCATTCAAGACTCAAATGAAAATCTCTACTTTAAGTAATGCCATCCTTCAAAGCCTTGATCTACAGCTATGTTATTTTTATTGTTTTTGTAGTAAATAAAGATCATGGAAAGGGGCTTGTGTGTTTGACAACCAATTATCAAGCGCAAAGAAAAATAAAGGCAACCATCTAATTTTTGCACAATTTCTCTGACGCCATGATTTCTTCTCAATACTACAATGAGTATTTCACACAGAACTTACCCACATAAAGACTTACCATCTTTAATTCAAAAATGAGTGAAGTCATTCTTCTGGTTGGAGAGAAAAACTTTTGAGGTTCAATTGCTTTTTAAAAAACATGGTGCAAATTAAGAAAAAAATGCAGTCAGCAATTAAAATGAGAAGAAGAATCAAAACAGGTGAGCTCTGATAAAAACAAGTGAGCTGGTTTGATGTACATTCAGTAGAATTCTGGCTGTATCATGGGCTTTTTCATTAGGTTAACACACAAAACAAATATGGCTTTGAGGTGCTTTATATCAAGCTGTATGCTTTAAACTGGGCCAGAGGAGTGTTGCTTCAGTTCTAATTTGCTTAAACTGAGACATATTTAGCCCAGATCATTCAAATTTCAGAGAATGGAATACATGTATATATTAAGTTTTAATAACTAGGGTCATTTAGATAAGCTAGATATGAAAAAAAAAAATCTATTAGCTGGTATTTTCTTTACAGTAAAACAGCCTACATCTAATACAGTCTAATCATAGTAATCTAACGAATGATATCTGACTGGTGCTTACAAATCAATAATATGCTTTACACATTTTGGAGTATTTACATTTTTAATTAACCACTGTCCACTGACCCTGGCACCTATGCCATTGTGAACTGTCGATTTAAACAGAACAAAGTCAAATATTGGTCTTCACTTGAAGCATATATGCAGTTATACTTAGATTTCATATTTTAATGGGGCAGCTATGATACAAAGTACTGTGTGAAAGTCAGAGACCACCCTTCATTTATTTAACTGCAGTCGAAACAGTAGACATTCTTCATTTTTCAGCAACAGGAAAAAAGCACAAAACATGTTCAACAGAAAAATACACTGAAGCCTCAACAACTAAATATAACTTCATTTTTTTCAGTACTTAGTGTGTCCATTCTTTACCTTTTTTTACAGCTTCCATTCTTTTCAGGACACTCAGGTTCAGTTTTTCAGAGAAATCTGCAGGGATTTCTCTTTCACAACTCACAAGTTCAGTCTTAAACGTTGGTTGGATTTTTTGCTTCTCATCATTCCAGTAATCAAACACATTCAGTGATGATGAGATCTGGACTCTGGTCCATTGTTAGATCCCTCAAAGATGAATGCTGTAAGTACCAGGGGCCAGATTTACGAAAGCTTTAAGAAAAAACTTGTGAAAGTTCTTAATACAAACACTTAGAGGTTCATAAGAATGTTCTTAATGCAATTCTTGAAAAAAAACTTAAATATTCCCTTAAGAGAATTATTTTCTTATGATTTTCTTAAGAAGATTTTCATAGTTTTCTTATGTAGGCTTTGTTGCATTTTACTATGCATCATAAATGACAAGAGATATACATTTTGAATTTGTATTAATTGTTACTACCATTATTTAGTTTAATTCTCCCTCAGAGGAGCAAAATGGAGGTAAAACATCAAACCAAGTGTTTAAAATATTTAGCAAACAAGAAATAGAGGTGATGGTGGAAGAAACAGCCAACAGGGAAAAAAAATCCTGTGGGGTGACGGACAAGGATGAGCAGGAGGAGCAGAGTCAGTGTCCGTGATAAATTTAGATACTTACCTTCTCAACTCTTTACAGCCTAAGACAAGTTATGACAAAATATTTTCAAGATGCCACTTGTTCTCAGAGTTATTCTTAGATAATAAGATCATTCTTAGGATATTAGCTATTTGAAGAATATTAGCTATTTGAAGAATAACAATTTCTTATGACCTTTTTAAAGAATGAAGTTAAGAAAAAAAAAAATAAATCACATTTCAGAGGATTTTCTTTAAGACACTTTAATGATTCTGGCCCCTGATGCCATTGTATCTACATCTTTACACATTTTTTTACTTTTTTGCTTGACTGTGCCCTTCTTTATGCAGGAGGAATATGTTATATCTGATTTCCTCAGACATCTCCTGAAAAATGAATAACTTCACTTAATGGTTGTTTTGACTTGAAATTAAATGAATGAAAGGTGGTCTGCACAGCACTGTATGATCGGAGTTCTTTAAAGGACTGGACAGAGTGAGTAATTGTAGTCATTAGTCTATAACAAATGGTCAAAATCTCAGCATCTGTGCAGCATACAGTGCCTGCTGTACTGTAGCTCTACAGCAAACTCAGTTTACAGCTGAGGCTGCCTGTAGCAAGGAAATGAGCGAGACTGTGCTTTGTGTGAAAAAATAGATTGGAGTGACTGGGTCACGTTAGCTGCCCACCAGACACGCTGCCATACACGGAGCTTGGGGAACGTGTCTGTGGAGTGTATGCACCTCACTGAACTGGGACAGAATGTAAACAGCTCAAATGTGCAGAGGGGGTGTGCTTTCTAAGGATCAGCATGTGTGTGTGTGTGTGTGTGTGTGGACGCACATGAATAATGTCTAAACAACTGTGTGTTGCTACAGATAGTGATGCACCGATCTGATACACTGGATCAGTACTGGCACCAATACTGACCTTTTTACACTGATCTGGTAGATCAGATCTGATGAGCAGACCTGACCGATTGTCTGTCAGTACAGTTTCTTAGTCACAATCGCTCTAAAATAGAAGAGCCATTCCAAAACGTGATTTACCACTATTAAATATACTTTCAATATAAAACCTCAGAAGATGTATAGTTTCAGTGGTTGTTTTTTAAATAATGGCGACCACTGGTTCCTATCACCACCACTGTGGAGAGTCAGCAAGTTTCTCTGTAATGAACCATTTCACATCAAACCACTCTGGATGACTGTGTTTACATTTTAATGACTGAATTATGCATATTGAAAAATCTGTGCAATTCCCTTTTAAGCAGTCTTCAGTGATCAGTAAAAAAAAACCTAATAGCGCTAATTTAAATGAAAATAACACAGTTGAATATGAAATGCATGTCCACTGTGCCTCACTTAAAAATCTGTAATTACCGAAATGTATTAAAATAGATATCATGTTTTGGAAGGAACTCTTCAGTTGCATTCAGTGCATTATATGAGGTATGCAGACTCTAAACTGAAGAGGAAGAAAAAAAAATTAAATCGATACTCTGCAATAACCGATCCTGAGGGAGGGAGAAGGTCAGCTCGGTGCATCCCCAGCTATGAACATTTAGAAGAAAATTCAGGAGAAGCGCTCCTCCATAGAGCCAGAACACCAGGCTTTGGTCATACTGGTCACATGTGCGCAGACACACATACACACACACACACACACACACACACACTACACACACACACACTACACACACACAGAATGTAGTGAACAGACATGGTCAAAGCTGCTCAAGGCGCAGAGAAGGAAGCATTACTAATCTACAACCAGTAGATTAAGAAAAGGGTTTTCATATTGCATTTCAATAGATTAAATTATGAGATTAAATTGCTCAGTATATATAAAATTGGAAGAAAGCTATATTCCAAGTTAATGGTTACATTTCACTTTGCAATTCTAAAATAATTTATACCAACAATATTTAAATGTATATGTATAGTATATAAATATACATAAGTACATAGGTATATCTACACATATATTTATAGTACCGTTATACCATACACACATTTTATATATATATATATATATATATATATATATATATATATATATATATATATATATATATATATATATTATAGCACATACACACATGGTGAATATACAGTGAATATGAATATTGCAGTGCAGTGTTGAAGTAAGACTCAACTGAACATTCACATCATCTCAAGTAAGCTTAAAGCCTAAAAAAAGTTCAGGTGTATTGCTATATAAGAAAGACCAAAGTCCCCAGCCATTTGTCAGGTTGAGCTGAGGTGAACAAGTCAAATTGGAATATTGCTTTTGTACGATCTGCGAGTGAATCCGTAAGTTTAGGTATAGGTCAGTTTGGGAGGAGAGTGTGTGTGTGTAGTTTGGGGCGTTTCTGTGCGGTGGAGACAGCCTGGTCAAGCCTGGAGTGGTACGACACTTTAGAGCCACACAACCTGATGGTTCTAGAAGTCAGAGAAGAGATCTTGAGGACCCAAGTGAATAATAAAAGGTGCGATGGTCCGCGGCTGGTAAAAGGGATTGTCAATGAAAAGACCACCTACAGTGAGGAGAAGAGCAGAGAAAGCTGCAATTAATGGCGCGGGACAGCAGGAGGCAGTGGTACACACTCTGATGGGAGGGGGGGCGGGTGGTCTGGGTGTGCTGCAAGGGTGGATACTAGGGTCTCTGCTCTTTCAGGCTGTACGTGGGGTTTTCATTGAACGAGGAGCGTTTCAGGAGGTTAATAAAAGACATCAACAACTTAAGTTGCATGGTTACCACTTCTCGACCAAAAAAAAACAAAACAAAACAAAACAAAAAAATATATAAAAAAGGAAAATAAATCTCAGAGCTCATTCATTCAAAGATAAAAAGCAGAGGATGTGTGAGGAAAAAGGTATGTGGCAACTTTCAAGTTTCAGACACGTGGTTAGTACATAACTCTGACAAATCAGAACCAGAGCCAGTGTGATTTTGGAAAGAGTATTGTACAATGAACGCCATCACCATCAAAGAGAACAGGCCCCATTGGTTTCTGAGTGGACACAGCTGAGGATGATCATGAAGAATGGGGTCTCCATCTTACAGCAATGGGGATCACGTGACCACAGAGAGTAACCAGGGAAATGGTGGTTCTCTTTGGTTAGGGATGGCCACATTCCTGTCACAAACCAGCACAAACACCTTCTGATTGGGTTTAAGCCAATCGCACGACAGCAGCTCAATCTGCAATGGCCCCTGTCTACCTCAATTTATAGAAAATGGCACAATACCTACTACAACCAAGGACAAGATCAAGGTCAGACTACAGCTCAGTTATTGAAAACTGTCTTTGGTAAATAGCCTATTACAGAGGCTGCAGTACGTTACAATGTTGTCATCAGAGGAAAACACGCTTTTTCTCCCTCCCTCAAGGTACAAGCTTCCTTTCAAGGTGAAAACATAGTTAGCTGGCCACTAATTTGGCCAAGAAAGCTGGAAGGACAGTGAGGACATGGGCCAACTTGTGCAGTTGCTTGTGCTGGCCTGTGGACTAGGAAGAACTTACAGCTCACACGCTAAGACGCTCACCAAGAAGGAAAAAACAAACACCAAAAGAAAAAAAACAAAGGACATAAGACAATTAAGTAGCATATCTCCATGGATCCCATGTTGCTGCTTTCGATTCTCCGATGTGTGGCTGTGACTGGAGGCTCCAGATGTGTTGCAGTGTGAAGGCTCTTTGGGTATGACATGTTTCTGTTGTCCTGTATTTGTGTGTGTTTTCAAGAGACTATTACCTGTTAAAGGATTCTACCTATTCAGCTGCATTTAACTGCATCCTATATATGAATGGCAAATATTGAGCGTACATGGCCAACAGTTGGATCATATCTCGTTCACTGTCCATAGAATGCAGCAGTTTTCATCATGCATCCTTAGGGGACCAGGGTTTGAGTGACGAAGGACTGAATGAAGGTTTTACACTCCTAGCTATAGGCTTCACTTAGCAGCCAAAGGCATGAAAAATAAAGCCGGCACTAATGTCTGAAATCTACACTCCTCCAGGCAAAGTAACAACAAACTTTAGTTTATGCAGAAGCCTGTGAAATCACATGACAGCTTATAGCTCCACATAAATAAATACCTACGCAGGTGTGAGTCTCTATGGGCTTAGCGTGTACACACCAGTCAACGCTTGGCAGTTGAGGAAGATAAAGGTTTATTCGTCAGCAGTAGTTTCAATTAGACCTATACATCCCATAGCTTCTGCCATCTTTAAAAAGATGCCTGTGTCCAATCACATAGCCTCAATCCTTTCTAATAGAAAAAACAACCACAATTTAAAAAAAGAAAGAAAAGAAAAAAAGTTGGTATAATTTAAAATTCCACGAATGAGGTAACAATTCACAGTACAAATCGTTCAAGTCTTTTTTCTTCTTCTTCTTTAAGAACTTAAAAACCTGCATTTTTTAAGTCAGAAAACAAAGAGGTCAAAAATAAAATAAACTAAATTAAAAATGCTTTACAAATAAACCTCCACTTAAAGTCCTTATAGCTCTCAATGGGGTTATACTCGGACATTCTGTCTAACATTCCCTTCTGAATTAAAAGTCGTGTGTGTGTGTGTTTGTGTTTTGGTGAATCTCCTGAGCTAAAAGAAGGAGTAGTGGGGGATTGGGTAGGCGGGCACTTTCATGACGGGCAACAGAAGCATTCTCTTGGGCAAACCTAGAAAGAGAATGAAGAGAGTACTCCACATGAGTCTGGGGTTTGGGAAAATAAGAAATAAATAAAAAAGAAAGGATATTGTGCCAATCATGTTCATTTTAAACAAAGGGTCCTGTATTCATGAGAGTAGTTAGAGGAGTGAGTGAAAGAAAGCAGGGGGCTTCAGTAGACCAGAAGTAAAAGGTCAAAGGGAAAAATTAGTCCACACAAGAGAGAAAGTGTTTGCAGGTATGCCTGTAGGTGATTTTCTTTACACCTATATAACATGTACTTTAACAGGATAAAATAATGCAGCATGATGAAGTAAAGCTCAAAGTGCCCTCTCTTTTGGTTTACTTTAAATGGTCAATCCAGACACATATTTATATTATATAAAGTATATATGAAGCCACCAAGTATTTATGTGTTTACTGCACTTGCATACCATATTTCTACTTATGAAGCTCAGCAGTAATCTTTGCCTGTTGTGTCAGATGCGTGGGGCACACGGGGCAGGCAGGGACATGAATAAGACAGGTTGGTTTGTTCAACCTAGTGTGTTTATAGTGGAAGGTTCACCCTAGTGTGTATGTATGTATGTATGTGTGTGTCTCATGTTTAACTGTTTATAGTCTCCCAGTCCCATTTTAGAAATCACAAAGCAGCAACAGGAGGCAGAGGTTTGGACAGCACTGGATGACTGAGTGAGAGGAAGTGCATGCACACAGCTCTCCGAGACCAGAGAAAACAGAATGAGAAACAGAGAGAGATAAAGAGGAAAAAGAGAGGACGCTGGTCTCCTACAGCACCGTACCTGGCTTTCCTTTATCTAGAGGAGTGCTCATTATGTGGCAGGCAAAGACCAGGACAGCAATCCCACTTACTGCCCCTCAGTTACCCCACAGGCCAAAAGTACACAAGACATTTCCTCTATACTCCCTCTCCCCTCCTCTCCTAGTCCTCCCTGCACATAAAACTCATTCAAAGCAGCTTCGGCCAGGCTGGTCCAGAGAAAGAGACCCAATGCCACACACAACACAGCCTGCACAAGAGCACTGTGTGTGTCATATGTGTATTTGATATGTGCTTTTAAAATCCAAATACTTAAGGAACAAAAATCTCTTTGCATTTGCAAGTCTCTTGGTCTATATTTTGATATAAACATACACATCTAATGTCAGAAGAATTGATGTCTGATAATTTTAATGGTTTAATGCTGTAACGAAAACATGCAAAATGCAAACCAACAAAACTGAATTCTGGCAGAATTCTGGGGCTCTAGGCCCTAAATGCTGCAAAATTTAAGACTGACTTTCTGTTGTTTAAGACATCTGGCAATTTAAGAACTGACAAACTGGCATATCAGTCAGTAAAGCACTGTTTAACTCAAACTACTGGAAACTTTTTGGCTGTATAAAATTCTTTCAGCTGATATCAGTTACCATCATTTTTAGCTCCTTAAAATGAGTGACAATGTTCATGTTGGTCTGGCCCTAGTCTGCATGTTCAGTATGTGTATAGCTGACCTCTGTACACTGGACATGGAGTTATGCTGTGGGGGGAGCTGAAGGAAGGGGGGAGCATGTGGTGACGAAAGAGAGACACGCTAGTCCTCCGAGGCGCTCTCACACTCTGCAGAGTGAGAAGAGTCTGCCTCAGCAGCTGGCTGGGTTTAGCAGCGATGACACCTGCTCGTGACGAATCGCACAGACACACCAGCAGTCACTTGATTCCCCGCCCTAAATCAACAGTGTATTTGTATAATACCAGAGTTTAACTAGAGGTATTGCTGTTTTCCTATCATTTGATTTACACTGTTTATAGATAATTATACAATTACAGCTAATTATACCCTTATATGACAAATATTTACATACACTTTTCATTCTGTATTGACAGGTTTAAGGCCACACTTCTGATATTTTCTGAACATGTCAGAAAACAATAAAAACATGGCAAAAACGTGCACATTTTGCAAATCTGCTGGACACAATAATATTTTCAGTCAAATTCAAATTATGCTAAAACTACTTTTACCTACAAACACAAATTTGTCATGGATTTAAAGTTCTGAATCTGCAAATTTAACAGACTTTCTTCTAATCAAACAAACTTATTAGGAATTTACTAGGAATCTGCAGTCTGACTATTTCTATTTTAAATATCCATAAGATTAATTAAGAGACGTCGCGTTAACAACGCATTAAGATTTCACTTGTGCTTCATAGCAGCAAAGTTTGATATAATACACTTAATCTTTAATACGAGCAAAAATGTCACACTTTATAGCCCAGTTATAATCTAACACCATTTCACTTGTAGGTCTGACACTTAAATAGTGATTTCAAATACTGCCACCTGGAAAGCTTAATAGAGTGCTTAAGTACCCATAGTCCCTAGGTTATACACAGGTTTTGTGTATCTTACACATGTAAAAATGTATGTGGTATATATGTGGTATGTACACATCTATGTCAATCTGCATGCATATCTCTATAACTCGCTTTAGTGGCATTGGTCTCTCAGCCTCTTCCTCTCCCATTCTCCCTTTCTTTCTCTTTCTCTCTCTCTCTCTGAGCCAGGGCTGCTTTGAATGGGGTATCTCAGTGCTGTAGACAGCAGAGCCATTCTGACACTGCGAAAGAAAGTCGTGTCCAGAGTCAGGGACAGGGGGGCGAGGACAGGGGGAGCAGGCAGACTCAGACAAAGCAGCGCTCGAAACACCCAGCCGAAGCGAAGCAAGGCTTGCTCCAACCACAGGAAGAACCAAAAGGTTATGACCCTGTCCTCCCGTTGGCCAGGGGGATTTGCCAGCTTGAGTTCAAACAGAGAGAGATTGCTGACTTGACAGGTTCAAGGCCCAATTTTAGAGCTGAATGGAAGGTGGGGTAGGGGATAGTTGGGGCAAATTTGGACCCTAGACTCGGAGTGGGGCAGGGGAAGAGGTACATACCGTATGCAGGAGCAGCAGCAGCAGCACCGTAACCATACGGGCTTCCAAAACCTGTAAGGAGAGGGTTTGAGACACACTGATAAATAAGATTAAATATTTCAACTAAGGGGACTTCAAATGTCTTTATGACAAGAAACTAGAGATGGTACCAATCCAGTACCCAGAATCAGTACTTAAAATAAAATGAATTCTTTATTTTAAATAGCCAACTTTTCCACATATTGATATTCCTTTATATATATATATATATACACACACACACAAACCCCTTTATATATATATATATATACATATACATATACATACACACACACACACACACACACACACACACATTCAGTATCAGATATTCAGTGACTAGCTCCAGTCTAGCCATTTTTAAAGTAAATATACAGAGCATCACAGCATTTATGCACACACCCAGATAACAACAAAAATATCAACACCTTACAGACTTACCTGGTGTGACGTATCCCGGAGCAGCGGCACTAACGAATGCTCCTCGCGTGAGTGCGGCTCTTCCTCTTCCTCGAGCTGCCTGAACCGCCACAGCAGTGGCAGCAGCGGCTGCAGCGATCACTCCTTTACTCTGTAAACACACACACAGTGTGAGTTGGACCAATATTCACGTTTTACCACTCATACACACAAAAATATTCTCACATTCACCACTTTACCTCCCATATAAATACAAAATGCTTCAACATGCATTGATTCTATTTCACATACTAAAAGCACAAAAATAGCGCAGTTTATGTAGTGGCTGGGCAGTTAACCAGTTTTACAATATAGTGGTAAAATCTCAAAAGTAATTACACTTTTTCACATTTTAATTGTCTATAACCATGTCTTTAAAGGCAGGGTTTTCTCAGTAAAATGGCCTACAGCCCAGCATCAACCAAGTTAGCCAGTCTCTCTACATAGGCCATGCATATGCTCCAGTAAAACCATGGCAGAAGGCAAGGACAGCGCCACAGGGCTTTCTCATCTTTCTAATTAGAGCAAGTCAAAAGTATGGTCATATTTTGGTTTTATGAAAAGTGCTGAGCGAAAATGAATCAGAAATGACTGCCTTATCTGCAGAACATTCAGAAAGAAAGTTGCAGCAAAATTAAGTCAAATTCAATGAGTCATTTGTGTCACCACCACCTGCTGCTTTACAGCAAATGCAAGGTAAGTTATCTTTTAGTTTAATGAATTTGGGCAGTTTTATAATGGTGAGAAATGGCAATTTAACTTAGGATACTGTTAAAACCTGCATCCTACATGATTATATATAGTTATTTTAAGCTTAATGCAAACAGCGCTGACAGTGTAAACAGTATGCAGTGGTGATAATTTATTTATTTGTGATTTACTGAACATTTACTTAATTAGATGAGGTTCAGTAAAAAAAAGGGTTTCAATATAAAACATGGTGAACTTATTTTAATGTATATTAGCACTTGGTTTCAACACATTTCAAGATATTAAAACTATATTGGAACTAAAATTCTCTTTTCATACTGTCTCAGCCCATTTTGTGTAGATACAAAACAGCAGCTTATAGTTTCTATTAGGCGCATAATCACTGACCATTTTCCAGGACAATGGGCCTCATTCACCAATATCTTCTTATTTTTTCTCTTTTTTGTGTTCTTTAGAAAGGTCCTAAGAAAAAGTCTGTCAGATTCATGACGTGTTCTTAACCTGCAGAACTGTTTGCACCTTTGTGCTCTTAAGTGTGTGCAGATTTTGTTCTTACCCAAGAACAAATCCAAATAAGAAAACACTGGTGAATGTCAGAATCTTCGTAAAAACTGTATAAGTGGGTTTTAAAAAGAAATTTTTGTTAAGAACAATTAGCGAATACGGCCCAATAATAATACAGAATGTTTGGCATGCACAAAAAGTGTCAATTATATTAAAATTACTCTTGTGGTCTTCACCTTAGTATCTCCATTATCCCCTAACATAAACCAGATCCTAGAGAGACGTTAATAATTAGGCTTGTTTTCATTCACATGAGGTCAAACAGGAGCCTTGGAAGCTGAATCAATGGGCTTTAGAGTCAAAGGTAGAGTATTATTGATAAGGAGGATCACTGATCAGGTTGCTCAAGTGGGCTGGAAGCATCGATCAGTGATTACATTGTCTCACCTGAGGGATGATTTTTTTCTTTTTGTTGCCGGCAGCATTTGGCCCAGAAAATAGTTTCTCCAGTGCAGCAAGGGCAGCGCTGGCTTTGGCTACTTTCTTATTGGGCCCTGCTCCACGGAACTTCTGCCCATCAACCTCCACCTGCCACAACAGGGTTCAAGAGTTCAACCTTTCATCACATTAAACATAACATTTGTGTTTAGCAGCAGCTCAGTGAAAGTTTTTAATAATGAAGTCTTCTCTTAATGCACTAATGAAATGCTACATGAAATAAACTGAGCACCACTGTATAATATGCTTTGTCTCAGTAGTACATTGTATGTATATATGTGTGTATGCACACATACATACACACAGACACACACACGTACCACACTATGTAACACAGAACATAAAAATAACATTCACTGCCATATACTTTCAAGAAATTCTCTTTTACAGCTCTTTTAATCTCTTTTAAGGAGATTAAGGCTAAAACCATTTAATGGTAATACATATATTAGTTCTAATTAATTGTACGTGTCAATTTGATAGTTGTAGTAATACTGCAATTTGCATATATGTGACTCGCCTCCATGACGAAGCGTTTGTCATGGCTGCCACCGCTCTCGGAGATCAGCTCGTATTTGAGACCTCGCCGCTTTTCATTCAGCTCCATCACTGGGTTCTTACCGCTTGCCGTCAGAATAGGACCCTGAGTTCGCACCTACACACACACATAAACACACCGTTTTATACTTTGTCAAGATATGGGGTCATACAGTCCTATGCAAATGACAAACCGACTTACTGATTTTCTAAATGAAAGTAGGTTAACACATCTACAAGTTTAGAGCACAATGTCTATGTATCTGCCGAATTTATTATATAAATAATAAAAAAAATAAAAAATTACATTAAATGTGCACATTTATATGAACCACATTTTGTTTCTTTCTCCCAATGTTTCAGCCAATAAACATCTATGTTACAATTAATACCACCTTCATTAGAGAAACATTTTCTGTACATTTTAATGCACACTCATATTTCTTGTATACACAGCGTATTTGAAATTAAGTAGTCATTGACTTAAGTGTAGATAGTCAGCTTTAATTAAAGGGGTAAAAATAATTTTGCATAAACCGTTTTTGAATAAGTTTCTGCTATCACTGATAGACTTGTTTTTATTTCTCCACATGTGAACACACACACACACATACTATATGGACTAAAGCATTGATATAATCTAAAATATTATATATAGTCCTATTTATTGAGTTCAGGAGCAGCTACACATGACCCTAAGATCAAAATGCACAATACCAAGCGTCGGATGGAGTGGTGTAAAGCACACCACCACTGGACTCTGGAGCATTCTGTGGAGTGACGAATCACACTTCTCTATCTGGCAGTCCGGTGGACGAGTCTGGGTTTGCCGAATGCCACAAGAACGTTACCTGCCTGACTGCATTGTGCTGACAGTAAATTTTGGTGGAGGAGGGATAATGCTATGGGGTTGTTTTTAGGGGTTGGTCTAGGCTCCTTAGTTCTAGTGAAGGGAAATCTTAATGCTTCAGCAGACCAGGACATTTTGGACAACTGTATGCTTCCAACTTTGTGGGAACAGTTTGGGGAAGACCCTTTTCTGTTCCAGCATGACTGAGCCCCAGTGCACAAAGCAAGGTGCATAAAGGCATGACTGGGTGAGTTTGGTATGGAAGAACTTGACTGGCCCTCATAGAGCCCTGACCTCAACCCCATCAAACACCTTTGGAATGAACTAGAACAGAGACTGCGAGCCAGGCCCTCTCGTCCAACATCAGTGTCTGACCTCACACATGCTCTTCTGGGTGAATGGGCTAAAATTCCCACAGACACACTCCAAATTCTTGTAGAAAGCTTCCCAGAAGAGTGGAAGCTGTTGTAGCTGCAAAGGGGGACCAACTCCATAATAATGCCTATGGATTTAGAATGGGTATCATAAAAAACTCTGTAGGTGTAATGTGTAGGTGTCCCAAATTTTTTTTTCTATATAGTGTATATATACATACACACACACACACACACACACACACACACACATATACATATAATCAGGGTTTGTGACTGTGTGTGTGTACCTCCAGTGTGTTGGAGCTGTCTGTGGAGTGTGGTGTGTTATTGCTTGAGTGTGTAGATGTCTCGCTCTTCCCTTCACTGTCTGACTTCTCATCAGCACTCATAGAGTCCAGGTCCGTGTCGAAGCCTGTGGGGTAGCCCATGGCCTGCAGCACCTGACCATCAGACAAACATAAAGAAAATCACTATACTATCACAGACACAATCATTAGACACATGAATCATACACTCTTAGGAAAAGGGGTTCTATACAGTACTGAAAAGGGAATAGTGGAACGCTTTTTTGAAAGGGTTCTTTAAAGAACTATATTCAACAGGTTCACAATCACAGAGAAGAACCACTTGACCATGCAAAGAATCATTTGTGCATTCAAATGGCTCTTTATGGTTCTTTCTCTATATAGAACCAAAGAACCCTTGAAGAACGATACCAACTTATAAATTACAAACCAAAGTGGGTGAACCAGAAATGAGTATGAGGTGCTGGAAGTGGGGATTTTTATAGACTAACCGAGAAGCGCTGATGTTAACAGAATGTAATTTGGACAGCCAATCAGCATTCTAGGCTTTCAACAAAATGCTTATTGGCTCAAAGATGCTGCTAAGACTGACTGCTTAGTTTGTTTAAAACTGGTATTTAATGACATGGAATTTTTGGACACTTGGTAGTGTTGAAGTAATTGGTCTGTACCTTGAACTCTTGGGTTAGTAAAGTGACTCTAGATAAAACTAAGCTGAGCACAAAAAAAGGATACTTTAAATTCAGCCCAAGAGTCTCTTAAAATGAAACTGTAATTGTAGCTCAAAAAAAGTAAAGGAAATTTTATCTAGTCATGCAGCAAAGCTTAGAACTGATTTAGCAGAATTAAAAATTGCAATTTTACAGATCTCCGAAACTCACTGAGTATCAAAGGGGCTTTGAAGCAGAACACTTATGTGCCAAGTTCACCAGCAGCAAATTAAGTGTCAGAAGGAAGATAATCAAGGCAGTATAACAGCCTGCAATTCTGCTCATCAATAAAGACACTGTTCACAACTCATCCACATAAAAGTTAAATAATGATTTGAATGACATGTTAAAGGTTGTACTGAATGAGTAGTTCACAAGTTCAGAGAACAAAAGGTGTTAACAGAGTAACAGGGCAGCACTCCAACTATATGGTGGATAAACTACACTGTACTGATCAGTTTTCACTGCACACCAAATTAAACTCATGCGGAGCCCAATACACATTTAGCTGATGAGAGTCACATGTGTAAGTGGAATTCCACCAAATTTCCAAAATTCAAAATAATTCAATTATTGAGATGTAAACAAAGAGTGCTTGATGTGTTTTGCTTTGTTCAAACACATAGCACGTGTCAGGCTACAGTCCTCGTGGTTCCAATCGCCAACACTGAACAGTTCTGACTTGCTAAGTTTCTCTAAAATGGAGCATTTCACACCAAACCACTCTGAAATACTTAGTTAACATCTCCATGATTGAGTTATGCAGAAATTTAGAAAAATCGGTGCAATTCTCCTTTAAAATGAGAACTTTAAACGTTTCAGCACTGTGATCCAGGTAGTACAGGAGTCTGATATTAGTGTCTTAAAGAAATAGTTTTACACACTACTGTTCAACAGTTTGTAATCACAGTTTTTAACAACACAAACCCTTTGGTGATCATGATTTGGTGATAATACATACAACAATACAAAAGAAAGTTAAATAAATGAAATTACCATCCACAATGCTTCATACCTGAAAAGAGGTGATCGGGCCTTGAGGCAGATAACTTGACAAAAAATATTGTAAATTGTTTCCCAAGTACTTTAAATATTCACTAAAACACCTAAAATGATTATCTATAATATTATCACATTTAATATACAGTTGTATGCAAAAGTTACACCACCCCAATCAAATTACACCTCTGTCTAATTTAAATTTTTCTAATTTTCAATTGTAAAAAATGAAAATAAGTTCACACATCATCTACAGGAACACTTAAATAAAGGCATTTTTCTGTGCAAATGTTATTTATTTTCTGAATTTATCATATTGGGAAAAAATAAAATATAAAATGTGCCTTTTTTGCACAGACCACATTATGCTTTATTATTCCCCTATATGTAAAATTTAGGAAATAACCAATAATTATGCTTTAAAATGTGCAGAAGTGTGTTTTCTGTAGTAGATATGTTAAAACAAATAAATAAACATGCACTTTGTCCAAGGTGCCCAAACTTTTGCATATAACTTATATACATATATTTTACAGTACATACATAATATACTGTAAAATACTATAATGCAATATTCAAATGTACATTATATAAATGACTACATAAAATAACAAATATTAATATGACAAGTGATTTCAAACCTTTAGCATACAGGACTGTCACCAAAGGAGCTCAAGAATTTGATCGTTTTGCACTTAACATTATTCCCACACTAAATTCATCCCAAGGAAAAGCCTGTACCTTAGCAAAGATGTCTGAGAGACAAAGAACCAACAAGGGTGTGATGTACAATCACTCTGACTAAACTCTTCAAAGTCAAGAGTTCTTACTTTTGGTCTGTAGTGAACATTTTTTAATTATAAAATTTGTTAGGCAATGAATTACATTTAAATTTGATTTGATTTCTGTATCAACAGGTTTGAGTCTGCAATTCTGACTTTATTATTATCGACTTTATTTGTGTTGATGTTTATTTCTGCATAACAAGACTGTACATACAACAATAACCTTTCATTAAATTCAAATCATAACAAAATATCTCTACAAACAAAAAAGTGTGGTATGAATTGAAAGTTCTGTAACAGAAATTCTCTTTTCTTTCTTTGAGCTACAACTGATAAATAATTCATATTAAATTACAGCATGATTTTGTTACTGCCAGCAATAACTGCTGGGTTAATGAGTGGAAGAACTAACATGCAGCATGTTTATCTAGGGGAAATTCAGGAACCCTAGGGCAGAACATATAGCAAGTCAAGACTCTCCAGGTCGTTGTCTTGTCTGTCTTGTCTTATCTTACTACAGCTATGTTTTTGTGTAGGACATATATTTTTGGTTAAGCTTAATTAGATCATGTCAGAATTCTGTATAACAGTGTCATTCTATTCAGTGATTCACTTCTGAGCGTCCTGCTGGCTGCATCCAGTGTATGTGTGCATTTTTCTCTCTGTGCTGTAATGAAGCTCCATGTAAGAAGCTCTCCTCGTCTGGCAGTTTGACCCAAATTGAGTGGTGGTGTTTGGACAGGGGACGGAGCCTTTTATGGCTGTGCTTTGGAGGAAAGAGGATTAGACCATCGCCTGCTCCACACTCTCGCTTTGTTCACAATCGCTGTGGAATTACATGGATTTGGACCCTCCTTGCATCACAGCCCCTCTGAGTATGTGTGCATGTGCGAGTGAGACCGTGTCTGAGTGTGTCAGTGAAAAGAAGCCGAGAATACTGTGCATGAGAAATAGACAGAATTACTAAATACACTGGCCTTCATAAGTCAAAGTTTTAAGATATCTAGCATTTCAAAGTGTTTTTAACAAATAAGCACGTTTTCCCTGTTCGCAATACTTTACGATATGAGACAAAAAGCCGTTTAGACCTTGCTATTTATAGGAACAGCTGATAAAAGTGCTACTTTAGGAATAATGCCAAAAACCACTCAACGCTGTCACTCAAACGGAACAGGTGTTTAAAACATTTAGGCAAAAGCTGCTCTTCATAGCAAGGAAGACACTTTGATGAACATGACGCAGAGTGTTGAAGCTAAATATACCCAAAGGATTAGCACTGCTTTACGTTACTAATGAAAGGGCTTTGCAGAAATTGGTCATCAATTAATTGAAAAGTAACAGTGAAAAAATCAATCAATCAATCTTGCCATTACTCAAAAATAAGGATTAATATTTGGGCAGACTCTTTTCACTGATAACCAACTATTGTTATTTGGTGATCAATAAGCAACAAGCCTAAAATGAAGGATACAACCTATTAAAATACCTATTAAAATATTATTATACCTGATCTAAAATCTGATTGGCTGAGCCTTGTTTGAAGCCATTGTTAAATAGACACACATCAAGTGAACTCTGTATTAATACACTGAAATATTGAAAATGTTCTTTGTATGCACAGTGGAGTGCTGTACTGATAGGTGGGCCATGAAGCAAATGGCCTGAAACTGTATTAAACAAACCTTGTGGTTTTGTTTAAACATGCGGGCTGACAACTACATGTTACTGATTACATGACCAAAAACTTAAAGTTATATGGAATATTTAAGGTAAGTTCTATATTCTAAAGTAGATATGGTACATCATTAGCCATGCTTACACGCAGCCTGATCGGAACAGAATACGTCCATGTATACACCTCAATCGGAACAGACTAGTCCGATTGAGGCTATTCGGAATTTCTATCCGACTGAACGAGGTGGGTAATCCTGTAAATAATCCGTTAAATAGAAAAATAATAACCATGTAAATGCCTGTATCTGATTACATACATTCCCAATCGGAAAGTGTAAGTATGTTCTGTGCATGTGTTCAACATGGCGGGAGCAGAAACTGGTCTGCAGAGGAGACGAAGTTTATGCTTTGAACTTTAAAAGAAGGCGGTGGGACGGGCGTCCAGCTTATGTGTCTCAGAGCACAACGTCTTCCTCTCGGCTTCTTTAATAAGTACATGTGAAGTACGTTTTCCTGAGTCTGCAATTAAAAACAATTAAAAACAGAAGCACTGCTTACTGCTGCTCGTCTCACTCTGACGGTAAAGTCATGGTAAAGTCTACAATAAGTGATACTCTACTTATGCATGTAATTTTTGATCGAATTACTTGTAGTGTGCATGTGAACAGAGACTTTCTTTCAGATTGCTGAGTAGAGTGAGCTTATAAACACCTTAGTCTTTATCTATAATCGGAATGTATTCAATCAGATTGGCAAAAATCTTTGCATGTAAACACAGCCAGTAGTGCTATCCTCCGGTTGTAAAATGGTCCAAGATACTGCTATTTTTAGTTTGCTTTATTTTTTTAGTGGGCCAATTTTACAACCGAAGGCCATTTTAGTAGCAGAACCAATTGCCTATTATGACCTACATTTCAAAAACCCTCCTCAACTTGAATGATAAACTACCCTATTCAAATAGGAACGATAGCACTGGTCAAAAAACCTGTACATTTGTCAGTTAACGGTTAATAAGTAAATCATTTACTTCCCTACTCACAAAATTTCAAAGAAAAAGAGGGCAAAATGTCCCTAGAATTTCTGACCCTCTGAGATGCACTAATATGCTGGTGCATCACTCATTCTCACTACACATCCAGAGTGGTCCCTTCGCAGTAATACAGCCAAAACACAGCCCCCAGCAGATGCCTAATTTGATCTATTCAGAGAAGAGTAGGTCACCACCATCCAGGACACTGAGGACACCTCACTAGGTCACCTAAAAGTTTTACTGCAAGTCAAGCTGTTGAGGCTAAATTATTCTTCTATATCTGTGCATCCGTGAACGTGTGAAGACCTTCACAGGTGTCTGCCAACATACTTGCATGTAACGTGAACGTGTGCACTAGGGGGAAGTGTCCAAATGTGTCACGTTCTTCCCCTCTCTCTCCAAGAATTAATATCCACTGCTTTTGTAATATTTTCAAGAGGAGTTGTCTAAATGCTTGCAATGTCTTTTCTTCTAGCTTAGTATTTCTGGTTGGGGTGGAGCATTGTTTGGGTCTGGTCCAGAACACTACTAGACAACCAATTAGAATTTGCACAGTGCTGCAGATTTGCACGACATGGCTTTAATTTTGGAGGTGTGCACATCATGGCTTGTGTTTTGACAGATGAATTCATGTGCATCTTTATAGAAGTATAAATCAGGCTTTTCTCCACAGCTCTTAAGAACCCACTGCTACAAGGGGTGCTGCAGAATGCTTTACACCTCAGATAAGCTTTTAAAAGCGTATAAGAAGTATGAGAGTTAAGAAGCAGAAGTGTTAAAGGTGGTAAAAAAAAAACTTCGAAGAAGAAGGAGAGATAATTTACCTGTCATGAAAATGATGAATAATGTTATGTACAAAGTACTGATCTCATGAAGAGAAACATTAGATATACAGCTTACAGGTATTTTCACTGGTTTCCCTCCTTATACTTTATTTCATTATTTCTCACATTTAAACGAAAAGAAAAAAAACACGAAAAACTGAACTACACTTACAATTCATACCACACATTTGAGTTTATAAGGAGAAGCGAAGATACTTTACCATGACTTGAATTTAAAGAAAAGTGTTGTTGTGTATTATTGTCTTTAGCAGAAAGAAAAACCATCTGATCTCAATACAGCCCCAGCCCAGCACTTAAATGCTACCTTAACAGCCACGTGCAGCTTGGCCGTCTTCTTGGAAGAGCCCGAGGCTTCGTAGATAGTGCCATCCACGTCCACGGACATGGTAAAGACTGGGGCATGAACCGGACCGGACTGAGACAGCAGCTTATACTGCAGTCCCGGACGGATCTGGTTCAGCCGCATCAGAGCATTCATGGGCTGGTTGGAGTCTATTGCTTTACTGTCTAGGACTGCAGAGAGAAAGGGAGGGAGAGAGAGTGTGAGTAGTAGGCATGGGCAGGATTATCTGAGTATATGGATATCTTATCTCTTTTATTAAATATGTTTTGGACTGTGTATGCAACATAGAGATGCAGAGAACTTAGGGACCCAGGCAGCAACATTTAGCAAAATGTCCATCAAGCGAAGCCATATATATAAGTATTTCAAACAAGAAGTTGACAAATCTGACACAAAGTTATCATTTTGTACATTAGCTGGTAGTCATTAAAGCACACATGCCTAAAAAAACAAAGATAAAGAACCAGATCATTAGGAGCAGATCACACAATAAATAAATGACAAACCTTACTCATAACTTCCATTATATATTACAAAGAGTCTGTTTGAATATCAGCATTTTCAAAGTGTTTTTAAGCAGTTTTGTAAGTGGTTAAAATGTCAATCCCTAGTGAGTACACAAGAGTGTTTAAGTACATGGCTCACAATCAGATAGCACATTTCTAACATGATCTATTGGCAGTGTCTAATTGCTAAATGTCTCTCTTTCTCTTTCTCTCTCCCTCCCATGGAAAAAACAAAAGCTGGAGGAACTGTTGAAGAAGAAAAGTTAAATGAAAATTGGTGGGGTCAGTGGACAGGCTTTGGGATGGCGTCAGTGGAAGGGTTTTGGGAGTGGGACTGATAGAAGGGTTTATGGGGGGTGTGGTTAGTGAGAGGGCTTTGGGTGGGGTTAGCGAGAGGGAGTTTGGGGGAGGGTTAGGGAGGGGGGGTTTTGGAGGTAGGGTTGAGGAGAGGGTTTTGGAGTGGGGTTAGTGAGAGGGTTCTGGAATAGTGTTAGTGGAAGGGTTTTGGTGGTGAGTTCATGGAAAGATTTTTTTTTGGGAGGGGGTTAAGGCTTGATACAGGGTTAGTGGCAGGGTGTTAGGGGGTTGGATTAGTGGACTGGTTTTGGGGTTAGTGAGAAGGTTTGGTGGCTATAGATGGTTTGCTAATGTTTAGCCAAGTTAATTCATATTTTGTGGTCTGGGTTAAGGGAGGGGGTTTTGGGGTGGCATCAATGAGAGGTTTTGGGGGTGGGGTTAGTAGGAGAGTGTTTCTGGAAACTATACATGGTTTATCAAGGACTTTTTTCATTGTCTGGCCATTATTAAAATTCCCATTACTTAAATAATCATAAAAATAATTATTAGAGTACTCAACTGCTAATACTTTTAGGTTTTTGGGGTGGTAGAATATTTAATGAACATCAGGGTTGACGAATGGCAGGTATTTCCTCACACGGTTACAAAGCTTCCAGAATGCTTTGGAAGTCTTCGCAGCTGTTATCTGGCCATTATTGCGGCCTGGAAGGAATGCCCAATGAACATGAGCCTGTATGTGTGTGTTTGTGTTAGTGTGGATGTGTGAGAGGAAGAAAATGTCTGACCTTTTCTCAAGTTGCGTTTCATCTTTTTGATGAGGTCTTTGTCATCCATCAGGCCATCTTCATAGGGCCTTTTTAGCCCTGTACCTGTTTAAGACACACAACATTAATATAACTGCTTTAATACAACTAAACTATTGATCATAGTGACCTCAACATGTACCTTACAGCACAACCACCCAGAGACCACCCATCATTTATTTCATTACCAGTCTAACAGCTATTAAGTACAAGTTGCTTTTTAGTATGAGAAAAAAACAGAAAGCATGTATGTAACAGAAAATTACACAGAATCCTCAACAATAAAACATAAAATCAGTATCAAGTATTTAGTGTGTCCACCCTTTGCCTTTATTAGAACTTCTATTCTTTTCAGGGGACTTGCTCTCATTTTTCAAAGAATTTTGCAGGGCTAATTTCCACACCTTCCAAGTTCAGTCTTTAAAGTTGGTTGCATTTTCTGCTTCTCACAACCCAAGTAACCTCATACACATGCAATGTTGTTGAAGTTGTAAACAGTCATTTTTGTCTATTTAGTTTTCTCAGTAAGGGCTTCTTGACAGCTACGCATCCTTTCAGACTCATAACACTGAGATGTCTTCTCACAGTGGAGGGATGAACAGAAACACCTGTGATTTTTTTTCAGATCTAAAGCAAGAGTGTAGCTTCATTTTCTTCCATCTCTAAAAGATGAAAGCTTTAATCTGATATTGACAGTTTGACTTTCTTATATCTCCTCAAAAACTTCTTTAGTCATTTTATATGCTCAGGAGAAAAAAATTACAAGGCAGCTAAGTTGTGTTTGGGGAGTTGTTCAGGCAATATGTTAGTGTTTCTTTGAAGGGGAACATGATGTCAGTAACTCCTTTGGGAGTTTTTGTTGAGAGGACTCAGCGGTAACTGGTCTGCTTTAAGACTGTAAGGATGGAAGAGTTAAAACAGCACTACGGTGCACTAAAAAAACATGGACAAATGAAATACTGATAGATTTGATATTATAGTTAGTGTTGAAGGTGTAGTGGAGGTTTTGGTGTAATTTTCCCTTAAATATATGTTTCCTTTTTTTTTCCTGATATTCAAAAATTAATAACTTCTAGTCAATAGTTGTTTTGACTGCAAGTTCAATAAACAAAAGGGTGGTCTCTGATTTTTGCACAGTACTGTACACACACACAGGCTCAGGCTACTTATTCATTTCTTACACACACAAAACACACCTTCTTTGTCTGACCAGGGGTATTTCTGTGAGGGTTTGCTGGAGGGGAGTGGATCCATCTCTAAAACCTTGTAGATCTGCCCAAAGGCCATGAGCCGGAGATAATGCTGCAAAACAGAAATGCACAAACACAGTATTAGACATAAATATACAGAAAGTAGGGCTGCTATAGTGCATTCCATAGACAAAAAGGAAAGGTCATTTATAGAACAATGCTGAGCTGCCTGATCCCAAAGAACACCCACACAGTTTACATACACACACCTACACACACAAACACTGCTGCGGCATTATTTTTCACCTTGATGAAACACTAAATGCTGAGCCATGGCCCTGAGGTCGCTCTGACTGCTTAGCAACAGCAGTGTGTTTGGCTGGAGGTGTGTGGCGTGTCTCAGTTATGGAAAAATCAAACACAGCCCGACGGGCCACTGCCAATGAGTCACATTAATAGGAGAAGCAGGGGGTATGGATCCTTTCAGAAATGAGAAATGATGCAACACCCCCAGACAAAAACTACAGGGGGCCCCATTAACAGCCTTAGTTTTCCTTCTGCTCCTAAAAGAGCACTGGAGTCTATTTTAGCTGTCTAGGTCATAATCTCACACTGCATAAAAAGGTGAAAAAGCAGTGTTAAAGCAGCAGTGTCAAATTCAACACACAGAAGATCATAGCAATACACCTAGAGCTGCACTATACTATCATATACACTATATATATATATATATATATATATATATATATATATATATATATATATATATATACACATACACACACACATACATACATACACACACACACATATATATATATATATCAGTCACTATATTGCCTGCAAATCACAGCATGCTATAATATGCAGATGAACCCTCTAACCAATACTGTGTGCTGTGGGCATCCTGACCAATTCCAGAAGAGTTTTTCTGTGGGTGTTTTAATGAATCAAGGTGTTTTTATGAAATCCAACAAATCCATCCAATGATTTTGGTCTAAATATCACAGGCCATATCTTAACCATATCTTAATTCATTCACCAATCTGTTTTTTATATATGGCAAGGTGTATCACAATTGCAATATATAGCAAAATGACTGAAATGCTGTTTTTTTTGTCCACATCATACAGACCTAACTGTACATGAGATGCTTTAACAAACCTGATTAAACTGCTCAGCTCTTTATCGAATCATAATCAGTGGAGAATCGAGAACATTAGAGCAGCAAATCTATCAAATACTGAAGTGCAGTTTCACTCTAGACTAAAGTATGACCAGAGTTGAGACAAACCGCTTAAAACAGGAATGTTTATAAGGACTAAGAATGGAAATAATTTTGACGTTCAGATATACACAAGAGTTAAGGAGATAATAAATTGAGAAGCATAAAAACCCAGGACCCAGGAGGATAAGTGGCTTAGATGAGTGAGTGGAAAAAATTGTACCACGCAAAAGAATACAACTGAAACATGGTTTATTATACAAATAACAAAAATTATGCCAGCATGTTTCTGGACCTAGTTTGCATGAGCTAAAGTAGCTCTGTAGTAGTCTCATAGTGGCAAATTGTAATACAATATACATACATTTTACACTCCTATTAAAACATGAAACTGGAACTTGGAACTGTTAGACCCATGCACATCCCTAATATTAACACTAACAGAAGCTGACGTTGAAAAAAAAGCCAGTGCATAACATATATGAATTTGATACATTTTGGTGAATTGGGACTGGTGAACTAGCCGAATTACACATTTGTGATTTCAAGTCCTTGCAACAAATTAAGTTCTTGTGATTGTGGTTGCTAAAGGAGTAAATGTGCTTTTTAATGGTTACACAGTACAACAGTCAAACCCTCCACTTCCCTAAGCAAGCTTATTCACCTACATAAGCTGCATTTGCAATATTGTTCTCTCATCAGCTCAAACAAAGTGTTTGCTAAAGTCTAACCTACCAAAGCTAAATGTTTAAATCACAGGCTGTCATATTTCCACTAAACTGTGCAGGTCATTTGTCTTTCATTAACCCCTTCTACCATATTTAATCAGCAGCCAAACACCCAAAGATCAGCGGACACATACGCACACATAGGTGAGAGGCACTCTCTGCTGAATGCACCATCTCTGCAGGCTGCTATTTCTACAATCAATTACTGTAATTACCTGCACCGCCATAATGCATCCCATTTGAGACTACAGCAAACACAGCCGAGCCATTCGTACCAAAGAACTTACAGAGAAAATTCCTCCATGCTCAGCAAATTACAGCATTTTACAACTGCAAGATTACCAAACATCCACTCCCATATCACTACATTCTAAATAATTGCACTGAAATTGATCCCTGTTTGTTTATCTTAGAGTGCGATTCCCCCTGCCGAATGGTGACTGGCACTACAAAATCTGAGGCAATCAAAACAACTGTTGAGCCATACTTAACAATAACCAATAATGATTTTTTATATATATATTGATGCTGTACTAATAAATAATTAAAATAAAATTTATAATAAATAATAAAAATTTATGATGAAACATTTGACCAAAACAATCTATTAGCATTCTGTGATGTCAGTAGTGAACAGAAGGGAGAAAAAGCTGATGCTGCATTTCCTCTGTATTCTTCTTCTTCATTAAACCCAGATTTCTGCTGTTTGTGTAAGTTTCCCCTGTATGATAATAGGGAACGAGAAAGCTGATAAATATGTAGTGTACGTAGAAGGAAATATAAGCAAGAAAAATACACGAGAGAGAGAGAGAGAGAGAGAGAGAGAGAGAGAGAGAGAGAGCACAATGAGACAGAAAAAAAGACAGAAAAAACTAAAAGACAAAGACTGAGAGACAACAGAAACAAATTAAAAAAAAAAGAGAGACAGCAAATGAGAAAGACACAGTAACAAGAGACATAGAGAAGGCAAAGAAAGCAAGAAATAAAGAAAGAAAAGTGAGGAGACAGAGTGACAATAGACAAAGACGACAAACAGAAATAAAGACGGAAAATGAGAAACAGCAAATGAGAGAGAGAAAAAGACGAGAAAAAAATAGATAAACAGAGGGAAACAGAGAGAGCAAGTGAGAGAAAGACAGAAAAAAAGAAAGAGTGAGATGAAAAAGACAGAAAAAGAAAGACAGAGAGAGAAAATGAAAAGTAGAGAGATAGACAATGAGAGACTGAAAGGGTGAGTAGAAAGGTATTCCAGCATTATTTTCACCTTGCTGTAAAAAGGACAGCTGCAGAGGTTCTCTCAGACGCAGCTCACACCTGCAGTGTTTAAACACATACCTCTGCAAAGCAAAGGAACGAGATGGGCCAGTTTTGGTGGCACTGGTTTCCCACGCTCATTAGAAAACCAGGCGTCAAGGTGCTGCTCTTAGAGGATGTGCATGAGAGAGAGAGAGACCAGGCTCAGTGCTGACAGCAGTGCTGTACACACTTGAAGCGTAGCCCAGCAGCACAGATAAGACTGATGTGTGTGTGTGTGTGTGAGTGTATGTGTGTCACAGAGCAGTAATCTGAAGACTGCAGAGATAAGATAAGCCGTTGTAAGAAGACAGCTCTTTCTTGCCTTAGAGGGTGGCTATTACACTGCTAAGCTTACACCTCACACATACTCTCAGGTTACGCTCATCAATTCTACGTCTATCTGCATAGTCACTGCATTACGCCCCCCCCCGCAAAACTGTCTGTGTGATGTATAATTAATGATCAGGGAGATGAGCAACTCAAGGTCAAGTCAGCCCTGCCTCCATGTGATATGTAGCAGCAGAGGATGAACTAGACATTAGGGAATAAGGGCACCGTGTCACCTGTGCACTGTATGTGATGGCCTCCGCCTCCTCGTCCGTCATGGTCGCCAACGTGTCCGTCGGCTCCTTTTCACATGGGTCATGCAGGCCTGGTCCACCTGAGCACACAAACAACCCATCTTACACGGAAAGTTCAATCAAAATGGCTATTTAATAGGGGACGCATCAATTTGAAGGTGGCAATTGTACTGCATCAACAAAATGATAGAATTGATTATAATCAGTCGTAATACTCAATGTTGCTCGACCAAAATAAAATTCTCAAAATTTAAAAGTCAATAAAAGGTTGTTGGGTGGCTTTTATTGTTCTTCTATTAAAAATAACATCATATACAAATGTTTCAAAACAAATTCAGGGACAAAAACACAAGAACAATACAAAATTGTGAGTTTTTCAAACTGACGTGTGGGGATGCAATGCTGCACTACAGAGTATTACATTAGATGACTAATATTGCGTTAATTGCTTAAATGGCCCTTCAAGTTCACGCTAATGTGCTAATTGGCATGTTCATTAACTGTTAACCACATTAGCATTTGGCTAAGCTAACCCTTTATCATTTAATCTAACCTTGTTCCCTTCTACAACGGGTAGACTTTAACTCACTGTGACTCTTTTAAAAACACATTTACATCATATTTGATTTTAAGAGCACCAGTTGATGCGTCCAGACCTGCTTCACCACTGATCCACTGACCTGTGCAGCAAGCAGCATTGCCCGTCCCATCAACCACAATACATAACACTTCCTGTCCTCAAAACAAGATCAGCAAAAAACAACAGCACTGCCCATGTAAGCACATTAAATATTAATGCCTGCATCTTTCACTATTAATTAATTATAACCACATTAAAGCAAAAGGGGACTGGGAATAGATTATTATAGGTTATATAGGTTATGGCTGCGATAGAGAAACAAGGTCACATTAGCTAGATGACTCAAAGCCTCACAAATGAAATTCAAAGCAGAAAAACCATTTTTTTATTCAGATATTTTCCTCCCAATTTGTGTTGAATATCTATTCTATGAGGAGGTTCTCGAAAAGCCATTAATAAATGGTGTTTTTATTTCAGTAACTGCTTGGGGTAGCAGCTGGATTTACTGGGCAGTTTGCTAAGGGTAAGTAAGTGTGAAGAGAACAGGTTAGGGTTATTACAAAACCATAAAAGGGAAAAATTAAATGTGCTCACCCACAGTCAAATGAAGAGCTTTTGCAAAATGATAAGCATCCAGCTCATCTAAATCTCCAAAATATTTGACCCTGTGCCATTTCCTCTCTCTGTCTCTCTCCCCCTCTCTGTCCCCCTCCCCCCTCTCTCTTTCATCCCATCATTCTCTCAAAAGATTGTTTACCTGCTGGTATGCTTACCTGGCAGTAATATCCCAGAGGCCAAGCACTCCATGACTCTGCGCAAAGCCTCTCCTGCACCTAGCGGCCGGTTACACGTAGCAATAGCCTTCTCACACAGTAGCTCCAGGGGCTACAAACAGGAAGATATGAGTTAAGGCCAAGGGACATTGACCCAACATTATGGAACACACACCAACAGTCTAAAGGCCTTTAGACGCCAAACGAAATGCATTTGTTCGGTTTATTTGTGCAATTTACTCAGACAGCAGAACATTAATTTGAGCACATGTTTAACTGATGGAATCTTCCACACAAAATGCGATTTTTGGAGGTCGAAAATGTGACATTATTCTCCTTGCTCTCTGCTCGATTTCTGGCGACAACCAAGATGACGGAGCAGCTGTGTTCCAGCAAACAGAACTTTTTCACAAATGCTAAAAGGATCAGAATCTCCAAAAGCAGCTCAAATGGAGCTACAAACACCCCAGTTAAATGTGAAATAATTCATTCTTCACGCTACTTTCACTTGTCCAAAATGGACAGTAGCTCAGTGTCACCTTTTGTCTGTTCTGCCGTGAGCAAAGAAATCGTCCCTTTTTTTTGTACTTTGTTAAGTGTGGAGCTGCATCTCCAAAATCAGCTCAAACTCAGTTGAGATCCTAGCTGTGAGAGAAGGCACTTGCATAGTTTGAGCAACTGAAATTAGGGTGAAGAAACTCTCCGTTCTCCTCGCGTATTTCCAAAGTGGAAATCTTGCACACTGTGACATCGTGTCACATCCAGTATGTATAGTTCTGATGCGGAAAAACCGCATCCAAATATTGCTTATTTTCATTTCGTTTTTCTGCGTCATGTTCCGTGTGTAATGGCCTTAATGCTTAATGCAGCTGACTTCATACTGTTTGCTTTGTTAGTATTTGTTAGTATGAGGAAGAACATTCTAAAGCAGTGTTCTAGAACAATTTGAATGGGGGATAATATTTGAGAACTGTGTGAATGGGAGGTGGACATTTCAGAACAGTGTAAATGGGGGAGAACATTCTAGAACAGCATGAATTGGGGAAAGGATTCTAGAACAGTGTGAACACGGATAAATTCTCAAACAGTGTGAATGTGGAAGAATATCTGAGGACTGTGAACATGGGTAACATTCTAGAACTGTGTGACAGGGGGAGGCATTCTAGAACAGGTGAACGTTCTACAACAGTGAATGGGGGAAAGAACATTCTAGAGCAGTGTGAATGCTTCATTCGTGTTTTATTTTTAATGCCTTTTCATTCATATTACACTCTCAGGGTAAAAAGGTACTAAACAGTTGCCTGGGTGGTACCCCTCATGTCACTGGTGGGGTACCCCCAAGCATGTGTCTTCAGTACCTTTAGTTAGGGAACACAATTGTATCATATTCTGTTGCAATTGCTTTGTTTAAGTTGCACTGACTCCAAACACCTTGCCCTGACTCCAAGCTTTTACTTTTCTATTTAAAAGTTAAATAATGGCAAGATACAAATAAGACTCTTTCTCCTGGGAAAGTGAAAGCAGTGCACCTTTAAAACTCATTTAAAGTACAACTGGACATTAGGGCCATTGTTGTACCTTTGAGAGCAAATTTACATTGGACCATGGTGAAATAAAGAACCTGTACAGAATATTTATTATTTAGGAATTAATTTAACAAGGAAAGTTCTGAGATTTAGTTTAGCAGTTTTACTGTTTAAGTATTTTAGTATTTAAGAGTCCTGTCCCCTGCACCTAATGAAAGCATCTATCACATACTTACCCATCCTTTAAGAGGCTCCCATGCAGGTACTCTATTGCACTTGTCCCTTAGAATCCGTAAAACGATGACGCCTGATTTTAAGCCGTTTACTCTTGCCTGAGGAAACACAGAGCATGTTAGAGTGAGGCTGAAGTGCCAGTTATTTTCAGAACATAATCACACAACTTCTACATCTCACTCTACTCTCTGTTAGTATGAGTGAGGTTGTGACCATAGATATCTTTATGTGAGCAGGGTCAAGCATATTATGCTGATACTATGAGGGACCCAAGTTCGGCAGAGAGGGAGAAGGGGTTGGGGGGGCAGTCCAGGGAAGCATTTGACAATCTTTTAATGACAAACCAGCAGGTAAAAAAAGAAAAAAAGTAAGATGCAAAAAATAAAAAGTGTAACAATTGCTTTTGTAGCCTTACGATGTGATTACTTATTATGTTGGAGTATGGATAAGTAGTCAGAATCACTGAGAATGTAGCGTGTAGATTTTTTTTTTTCAGGTCATAAGGCTACAATAACAATGAGAGAAACAGAGCGCCAACCTGGAACCATTTAGCATGTCGCAGAGAGGCCAGCGCCACCAGGCACCTCTGTCTATCCAGCAGGTCCGTCGGCTCGCTCGCCTCAGCGCTCTCTATCGGCGAGAAGAACGGGACAGGAAATCAAGTCAAACACGTACACACACACATACTTGTATGCACACACACACACACACACACACACAAAGACAATGAGACGAGAAGGATCTGTTAAGGTTCAGCCATGCACTGTAAATCCAAATGTTTAGGTTCTAAACCCTTTTCTGAAACACTTTTTTGAATGTATAGGTGATTCATTGAGCCATTACCCAATTTGAGAACAAACTGCAGGCAGCTATACTGCACTTGAACATGCATGCACTTTTACAGAGGTTTTAATGGTAATTTAAGGTAAATGCATACAAACTTGCACAGCAACCTATCTGCATAAAACCTAGTATAATTATTGGTTACAGTGGCAATACAAGTATTGGGACACACCTCTTAATCACTAAATTCAGGTGTTATTCAGTCCCACTGCCACAGGTGTATAAAATCAAGCACCTAGCCATGCAGTCTGCCTTTACAAACATTTGTGAAATAATGGGTCGTTATAAAGAGCTCACTGAATTTGAGCATGGTGCTGTAATAGGATGTCACCATTGCAAGTCAGTTCACGAAATTTCTTCCCTCCTAGATATTCCACCTTCAACTGTGAGTGGTATTTTTGAAAAAGGGAAGTGTTTAGGAACCCCAACAACTCAGCTACGAAGTGTCAGGCCATGTAAAAAAACAGAGCAGGTCGCTGAGTTCTGAGGCGCATCGTGCATAAAAGTTGCCAACGCTTTAATGACTCAATAACTGCAGAGTTCCAAACCTCCACCGGCATTAACATCAGCTTAAAAACTGTGTGCCGGGAGCTTCATGGCTTGGGTTTCCATGGCCGAGCAGCTGCACGCAAGCCTTACATCACTAAGCACAATGCTAAGCAACGGAGTGGTGCAAAGCGCACCGCCACTGGACTCTGGAGCAGTGCAAACGTATTCAGTTGAGTGATGAATCACGCTTCTCTATCAGGCAGTCTGATGGACAAGTCTGGGTTTGGTGAATGCCAGGGGAACGTTACCTGCCTGAATGCATTGTTCCAACTGTAAAGTTTGGTGGAGGAGGGATAATGCTGTTGGGTTGTTTTTAGAGGTTGGTTTAGGCCCCTTAGTTCCAGTGAAGGGAAATCTTAATACTTCAACATACCAAGTCTTTTTGGACAACTGTATGCTTCCAACTTTGTGTAAACAGTTAGGGGAAGGCCCTTTTCTGTTCCTGTGCCCCAGTGCACAAAGGAAGGTGCATAAAGGCATGGCTGGGTGGGTTTGGTATGGAAGAACTTGAGCGGCCCACACAGAGCCCTGACCTCAACCCCATCGATCACTTTTGGGGTGAACTAGAACAGAGAGTGCAAGCTAGGCCCTCTCATCCAATGTCAGTGTCTGACCTCACAAACGCTCTTCTGGATGAATGGGCAAAAATTCCCACAGGCACACTCCAAAGTCTTGTAGAAAGCTTCCCAGAAAGGTGGAAGCTGTTATAGCTGCAAAGAGCGACTAACTCCATGTTATTGCCCATGGATTTAGAACAGGGTGTCATAAAACCTTCTGTAGGTGTAATGTGTAGGTGTCCCAATACTTTTGTCCATATAGTGTAGTTGACGTTTTCTTGAACAAAAAAAATGTCACAGGAGTATATTTTGTTTTTGTACATTTTAGCATAGAAAAAAGTGTCTGATATCTGTTATCTAGAATTGAAAAGACAGAACAAAGTACAATGTATTTCTAATTCTATAAACATTAAACTTTTGACTTCTCACAAAACTTCATTAAAAGATCTTTTCTTTTTTTAAGGGGATGATTTCCTTTTTTTTATTTTTGGGGGTGGAATGGCATCCTCTTGCATCCCCCTTCAATTCAAGTCCTAACCATTACACTCTTCTTTCTTTGATGTTACAGTCAAGCTTACCTCAGTTTTCCTCTCAAACATGGGAACAGCTAACCCAAATACTGTGACATGTTCAAAACATGTTACAGAAAAGTATTTAGAACCTAAACGTTTGGATTTACAGTGTGGGAGGAGTTGGTTGAAGTCCAGTGCATCCAAATGAGACGAGAATTCCATGCCATCTCTTTGGCTGTCTGGAAACTACGGTGGGGGTGTGTGGTTGGGTGGGATTTGCTAAAAGCTCTTAGCATGCACAGAGATGTCATAAAACTAGCAGCCTAAAGAGCATAACTGCCTTGAAGGAGGGAGGGAACATGGCTTAGACCTAAAGATATCTGCACATGCTAAGACTTTAAGCGAATCAGTGCCAGACTTGTGCTTGGATTGACAATGAAGTAAATGTTCACATGCAGTAGGCACTGTTAGAACACTTACATCCATCAGAGAGAAAGAAGACACAAAGTATACACGCAAATATACACACATGCACACAGAAAAAGATCTCTCTTCTTCTCTCCCACCCAAACAGTTATTCAAGCTGAATATTTTTATTCATTTAGTTAATTCTTGCATTGTTTACTCCTTAGAAGCAATCTCTGGGCAAAAATTCATGAAGATGCTGCACTTTGATACAGTGTGTGCACAATGAACGCCATAAAGAAATAATAAATGAAAAGGTAACGCTTCAAGGAAATGGTGGAGAGGGAGGAAAAGAGTGGAGGAGATTAATTACAGAGGCTTATGTGGAGGATCATGTGCTGCTAATGAGAACGTTAGTCTTTATTTTGCTTTTTCTAGATGGGTTTTAATCAGACCAACACAGCTGAGACCTTCTTAAGTGGAGCCTCTGTCAACTTGATATAAAGCTTTTCTCTCTTCCTTTTTCTCGCTTTCTTTCTCTCTCTCACCCCCCCACCTCCCTCCCCCCAGACTGGTTAAAGGAAAACCAATTATTTACTGTTAATTTATCATCAAAGAACATTTAAAGATCAGCTTGATTATTATATGATCTGTTATATAAACGCTTAGCATTTTTAATGATGCCTCATATCAAACAAGCCTAAGCTTTTATCACAATTAAAGGATTTTATCTAGGATAAAAGATATTGTAAACAATTAGTCTTCCATAGACAAATTCTTCATTTGCTCGATGATCCACGGTAGATGTGGGCCTTAGTCTTGGGCTCACTTTTTTTTTTTGCCCCCTCCTAGGGTGTGCTTTTCGGACCATTACAAATATGCCCAGGAAAATCAATTACTCTTTGACTTCCTCTTTGCGGGCAGATTTAGAACAATATTGATTGGTAGACTGGTGGACACAAGGTGGGGGATAAAATATTTACAGCCGGAGACTGGGACAGATTAGGGTGGGCAAAGCAGCGTGTGGCCGACAGGGATGCTGTATCTACTTCTCCTCCTGTGCGTATGTGCCTGTGCGTGCTTGTTTTTGTACATTTTCAGGACAGAAGTGTTCTAAATTGGTGGTAAAGCTGGAAAATAACCTACAGTACCAACAAATTAGTCCTAACTGAAAAAACCTTACAAGAGCTGCAAGAGCAAAACCATTTCTTTTTGGTTACTGAGGTTGAAGCTAGAGTTAGGCTGAGAAAATTCATAAGCACATATACATACTAGCACCTTTATAATACATATCGGGCATATCATTATTAAATGCAAGTGCTTTCATTTCCAGTCAAAACAGCCATTAAGTTATCAAGTTATTCATTGAGAGGTATTGAGATCCATTGAGAACAACTGACTGGCCACTAGAGTCCAGACCTCAATATCACTGACTGTGTTTGAGATTACTTGGATCGTAAAGGAAAAGCTGAACGCTAAATACTAAATACTGAAGACTGATATTATGTATAGTTGAGGGTTCTGTGTAATGTTCTGTTAAATATTTGTTTGCTGCTTGTGTGTAGTCTCTAACTTCTGCACAGTACTGTACATATATATATATATATATATATATATATATATATATATATATATATGTGTGTGTAGTATGTATGTATATATATATATATATTATATATATATATATAATATATATATAAAGATTATAAGAATTGTAAGTATGACTATGTCCTGATAATGTATAAAAACCAAGCATGCGTGTATGTGTGTGTTCTGATGAGTTCTATCTGGACGGTCATAGATTGAGCCGTACCTCAAAGGGACAGGGCCCTTGACCCTGCTGAGGAAATACGAGAGGTGCTGTGATCTATGGCCCATCCCTCTCTCCCTCCCTCCGTCCTGTCAGCCCTCTCTCTCTCCCTCTGTCCTGTCATTCCTCATCCCTCACTCGAATGCAGTGTCCAGCAGTGGAAGTGTAGTAAAGATGGATGTGAGTGAGCAACGAGAGTATTGATTTCTAAACCTGGATACACCCCTGTTCCACTTCCTACCACAATCTCCATCATCAGAACAGATCAGATCAGATCACAGACAGAGAGAGAAAGAGAGCAGAGAGAGTAGAGAGAATAGAGAGAAAATCGAGAAAGCAAGCAAGAGAGAGATGAACCGAAGAAAGAAAGGAAGGTGTGAGGCAACAAAAGAAAGAAAAAAGAATGTCAAAGCATGAAAAAAAGAAAGAAAGAATGAAAATAAGAAAAAGAAAGAAAGGAAAGCAACAGAAAGATAGAGCGAGAAAGACAGAAAAAATACAGAAAACAACAGAGCAAGAAAAACGAAAAAACGAAAGAAAGAGAGAGAGAGAGAGAGAGAGAGAGAGAGAGAGGAGAGAGAGAGAGAGAGAGAGAGAGAGAGAGAGAGAGAGAGAGAGAGAGAGAGAGAGAGAGAGAGAGAGAGAGAGAGAGAGACTCATATGCAGTAAGAGTAAGTTTGTGTAAATGAGGGGTTTCCTCTTTTATCTCTCTCTTCCCATCCTCCTCTCCTCCCTTGTCCCTTGGAGGGGCTGTTTGAGTCTGTCAGAAAGCAGCCCACTCAGCCCACTGTGTTTATTTGTGTGCGTGTTTGTGTGTGTGTGTGTGGAGAATGACACTGATATTGAAAATTAGGCCTGGCCCAAACAGCATTTTACAGGACTTGAACACTTGTTCTCAAAATTATAATCATAAAATATATATATGATATATAATCATATATCATAAATTTGTCTCTGAACATATAATAATTTAAAGTGTTCCCACAAATGTGTTTCCTGTCTGAGGCATCTTTGCTCTTTTAACTTCGATGTGGAAAGCAGTGCAGTTTGTTGTACTCTGAAGTGAGGTAATGTGGAAGCCTAGCAAAAATGTATGAGTCACTCAACTAAACCAGCTAAAACTTATTTATTTTTAACATTATCCTATATGATCAATCAATTCTCTATAAAAAAAAGCCCTTGCTATTGTAATTTATTGCAGTTTAGGCATCAATTTTTGCGGCTTACAAAAATCTGAATGTCCTGAATGCTATTCAAATTATTCAGGCCAGCCATGTGGAAAATGTTTTATCTTTTGCCAATGTGTTGAGAAAGCCAGGAGAGCAGTGTATTTGCATTTAAGTTGGAGAATGTAATTGTTTATTTTTGTGTGATGGAACATGAATGCCTTCCTATGTTTACGCAAACAGTGTTTTTCTTTGCCCAGATCCTCTTTCTGTCATAAAAGTTTTCTTCCTCTGTGCTTAGGACTCACTTTCACTCGCTCTCACACATGGTTGTACCTTGTTCTCCTGTCTCGCTGTCCTCTCTCATCTGTGGAGAGGTGAGTGTGACCTTCAGTGTGAGTTTGGGTTCTGTTGTGCTGCGAACCAGGATGGCTGCCTCGGGGATAGAGCACTGCACCTCGTACTTCTCCTCCGTCAGCTTCTGTCAGTGGTCAAGGTCAAAGGACACAATGTTACAAAGAAATCACAATACCAGAGCCAGTTTATGGGGAGCAGAGTGCTAGAAGAAACCTGCAAACCTCAAAGAATAAAAGTGCATGGAGCTAAACGGCCTTTTTTTAAACCTAAAAAAACAGGTTAACCATGTTTCTAGCCATTCATGTGGAACCCTCTGTTAATTTTGTATAGTATAAAAAGTCTATTAAAAAAATATTTTTCTGTTTTTCTACACCAAACAGGTTTTTATGCAGTAGGATGCTATCCTTACTGCTACTGAGTGCTGACTGGTTGGTGAGCTGATCATTGAGGCCGTTCGCACTCACTCATGATTGTTAATTCAATTATTACACATTAATTATAAACATTAACTTATATAAGGCACAGTTAGAAAGATAAAACTGGACAAAAGCACTAAAGTAAATAAATAAATAAATAATAATTTCACAATGTACCATCGCTCAAAAAATCGGAGAAAACAAACTAATGGAGTAATGAAGAGTAGGACTATCACCCTTCATCACTTGGATTGTTGTAAATACACACATTATTTAAAATTAAAATGAAGCAGAAAACATGTCATAGGACAATATGGCTGAGCTGAGTAGATTGTTTATTTGAACTCGAGCTGTTATCAGTTATAAGTTTTCCTCTATCTCTGCCAACACTGGCAGCTGATTAGCTAATTATTTACTCTTTCAGCTGATAAAGTCTCCAAGCGCTATTGCATTAACAGTAACTGCACCTGAATGTCAACTAGATCAGTATGTTGACTGACATTTTTAAAATTATCACTTTGTGAAGAGTTTGCTAAGTTGATGTTATCTAGCTATTCTAACATTATTAGCATTTAGCAGTTCCTTTTAAAGACGTTTTAATGTTGACTATTTTAGTCATCTGTTAAGTAGGTGCTAAATGAACTTCTTTTATTATTTCCTGCCGAATCTGTTCTTGTTTTTGAATGTGCAGAGAAAAAAATGCCTTAAGATAGTCAGTATTTTGCCAGTTACAATCTGATTAGCAGTCCGCATGTCTATGTTTACTCATTTCTGTGCACTGTTTATCAGTCTGGCAGTAAACCCTTTTGCAAGCCGTTACTCATGCCATGGCAATAGTGAGCCTTTTGGAGCAAGATGTAGTCACTAAATTAAAAATGATCACATTTTGAATAGCTATTCAAAGCTATTCTGTTATTCAACAGTTTTTGATATCTCTGCATGTTTGCTGATATTAGTACAGTTAAATTGCCTACCGCACACGTTTCACAAAAACAGCAGTTTGGAGTTGGTCATTAACATGTCGGTCAAATGGACCCTTTCGGCTGAAGTAGGCGGTTCAGGGACACACTGAGCATCAAAACACTAGGTGGAATAGTTTTTGAGGCTAAATTCACAGGACTTTAATTCAATTAAGATTCTTTAGAAAATCATTAATCATGAAATCTTAAATTTCACCATCATTTAATAATTTTGCACAATTCAGAACTATTTTTAAAATTTTACAAATCATTTTAGGTGCTCCCAAAAATGTGATTTCTTTCTGAGGCATCTTGGCTCTTTTAGCTTTAACGGCCATGTAAAAAGTGGTGCAGTTTGTTGTATTCAGATGCAAGTGACGTGGACGGCTAGCATGACTTAAACACATAGTTCATTTAATGCTATTAAATTTCAATATAACATTATTACATTCTAGCATCAAGGCTAAAAACTCAGAATCAGCCAGTGGCTTCTAGGTAATGGTCCATACTCACAATGCATACACAGAGCAGCTTATGAGGAGGCGTGGAGAGTGTTAAGGTTTGATTTAATATAATATAGTGTGGCGTGCAGGCTCAGTGTTAGATTGCACTATAATCCATTCTATTAATTCCAGCCACACACACACCTCCAATCTCTGCCGCTCTTTTCATGTAAACGAAAGAATTCAATTACTCCTCCCCCACCACTGATCTACTGTGTGTGTATCAGGCTGTGTGAAAGGCAGTAATGACAAGCAAGACACATAGCGTCTCATTCTCGCCTCTATGCATACAGAGGATGTACAGCTTCTTATTCACTAATGCTTTGACTGACAGGAGAGAGAGAGAGCGAGCGAGAGAGAGAGAGAGGGAGAGAAGAGAGAAAAAACAATTTAGAAAGACTTGCCCAAATATATGAAAAATATACACAAACTGAAAAATTAGTAATCATTCTCGGAGAGGGGCACACAGCCCCCTCACTGCTAAATAAGTAAACATGTCACTGCCTGAGAGACAGTAACACTCCTTATACTCTCCATACCCCTATCTTTCTGACCCCTGCCCAAATGACCAACACTACACAAATATATTAGTTTCCAAATTTATTATTATAATGATTAGGAGGACAATTTTTTATAATCTTTTTTAAATATAGCCAATAGTGTTGTTGTTTTTATTGTTATTATTTCATATATTGTTATTATATGTTCATGTTGTCCTTGTTTTAATGCTTTGGCAATTCTGTAATTCTTACAGTCATAGAGAGAGAGAGAGACAAAAGAAGAGAAGAGAGAGAGGGAGAAGAGAGAAACAGATTCATGGCAGAAAAATTGAGAGAGACATGGAAAAGAGAAAAAAGAGAGAGAGGGAAGAGAGAGGAAAGAAAAAAGACAGGGAAGAGAAAAAAAGAGAAAGGTGTGGAAGAGAGAAAGACATGGAAGACAGTAAAAGAGAGAGAAAGAAAGAAAGAAAGAAAGAAAGAAAGAAAGAAAAAGAAAGAAAGAAGGAAAGAAAGGAAGGAGAATTTGAGAGAGAGAGGGAAAGAGGAGAAAAAGAGAGAAAATGAGGGAGAGACAGAAGAAAGAGAAAAGAGAGCAATGGGGAGAACAAAGGAAAAAAGACAGAGAACAAGAGAGACAGGAATGAAACAAGGAAAGAAAAAAGGAAGGACAGACAGACAGACAGAAAGTCAGAGATGTTCAGACAGATAACACTGGAGTCTTCTTGCAGTAAAGTGAAGAGTCTGCTGCTCCATTAAAAGCTGATCTATTACATTATGACCTGACCTACCAGCAACGGACTCACATTAATGGGATCTCTGTCTGGAGTTTGTGGGTAGTGTACTATGCATGCTTAGTGTATGTATGTATGTATGTATGTATTTATGTGTATATACATATATATACACACAGTATGTGAGTGTGTGTGTGTGTGTATGTATATATATATATATATATATATATATATATATACACACAGAACACACACACACACACACACACACATATATATATATATATATGGTATGTGTGTGGGGAAGCATCAACTAGGCGTGCCCTTCCGCTGTCCTAGCACACATTGACTAGGTGTCTAATTAAGGAAGACCCTGGCTGGCAGGCTTAGATTAATTACACACAATGAATATAAATAAACTGGGGGAGTTAGTCTCTGTGCTGTTGCCCCCTCAGCAGCACCTGCAAGTCCTAAACACACTTTAAACCCTTTACATATTCATCACACTCTACGTGTACTAGGACTGCCCAATATAAGAATGCCCAATTTAGCCTTATTAAAAACCAAAACACAGCTACATGTACTTCATGCCACTTTGTAAGGAAGCCAAGATATAAGTTCTTTTTAACCCTTTATGGTCAATGAAAAAAAAAATGATGTGAATCGCATTATGAACGTATGTACTCATTCACTCAGAACCTATAACAGGGCATCCAACAATAAAGACAGCATGGAGCGTCTTTCATATAGACTTTAATGAGCTAAAAGGGGTCAAAGACAAAGACTCTGAATGGATCACCAATGAGATGCTAGGTTTAATAAGGGTTATTTCAGTTCAATCTTTATATGAGGCAAGAGTTATGTTTGTGGTCTCTGTACCTCAATCTGCTGGGGTAAGTTGTCACAGACAGTGCTCAGCAGCGTCTGTGTGGGTTTCTCTCTGCACATGAGCACCAGCTCCAGATCCATATCGTCTTTTATTAGCAGCCCTTTAGCCACCAGGCCAATCCGCACCACTCCACACAGAACTCTGCCTCCGTCAGCACTACTGCTGCTGCTACTGCCTTCACTGAAACAAAGAAAGAAAGGGGGAGGGGGAGAGAGAAAGAAATTATACATGCAATAATAGAATAAAAATATTTGCATAGTTATTAATCTTAGCCCCTTAAACTCCTGAGTTATTAATCTTAAAACTTATTATTCCATAATGCCTATGAAAAATGCCATTTTTGTTTACATAATAAAACTAACATAATAAAATAAAATGTAACACAATTACTAAAACCTGAATCTGTCACAAATCCCTAAATCAAGTCTGCACAAATACAAGCACGTTCTGCTCTGCACAATCAGTCTATTCCCCAAAACATGGATTAAGCCCAGTCTTTTTAGTCTAGCCTAAGGCTTAATCTGGGACTGGGAAACTGACCCTATGTGTAATGTTACTGACTTCAGTAATCATTTTGGTTATACTGCAATACTGACACAAGAGTATATGGATCATTCTGAACTCCAGGACTGTCATTTTGGTCAACAGCCCCTTAAAATAATTTCAGTGTGAAAAATAAATTATAATTTAGGTAACTTAAGTTATATTTAGGTAACTCCCAGCCGTTGCTGCAATTCACTCACTTGGTGCTTCCTTCTGCTGATTCGTCAGCGCTGGCCTCCGCCTCCTCCTCTTGGGTGCTGGTTGGGTTCGGCTGGCCGCCTTGGGACTGGTCCAGCCAATCAGAGACATGTTTGAGGGCACACTCGACAGTGGAGACAAGACTCTGTACAGCCTCCAGCTCCTCGGAGGACGGGTAGATGGTGGAGTGTTTGGCCATCACGTGACGGTCATCATTTCCGAATGAGCGGATGGACCTCTGAGAGAACAGAAGAGGTGAAAGACTTTAAGATAAGGGGTTCGCAGTTTCTGTCCTGGAGCACTACACACAGCACACACACAGGTTCAAAAAGTATTCAGACATCTACACATCCTTCCAAAATTAAGAGCATTAGGAATTAAGTGACCCATTTGTTGCAGTTACGGCCTCTACTCTTTTAGGAACTAGATGTTAGAACATTGGTCTCCAAGTGGCAGAGGCTGGCTGGGTTTGGGCTTCAGTTTCATGCTTGTGTGGAGTTTTACTGGGATTGGATTTAGTGCAGCCACAAGAGCATTAGTGATGTCAGGTACTGAAGTTGGATGCGTGTCCAATCTTATTCGCAGCGAGCCGGTGTGGCTGCAGGTTTTCACTTCAACAAAGCAGGAGGTCACCTAATGAAATGTTTGAAGACTAAGACCAACTGATGAAATAAGTAGAATCAGGTGTACTTCAGCTTTTTTGGAATGAAAACCTGCAGCCACCCCGGCCCTTTGCGGATAAGATTAGACACTCCTGCTCTAGCTCATCTCAAAGGTGTTCAGTTGAGCATTAACAGTATTATGGTGGGGAATTTTACACCCCTCCAGCTGATGCTCTGCACTGCACATGGTGCCCTTAGACTTCTGTGGCCAGTGAGCTGCATAAAATATGTTCAGGGAAATGGTTAAATGGACAGCGAAAAAACTCCATAATTGTAAACCAAGTTATTGACCCTTTGTTTAAGTTTCAGCACCTCAGTTTTAGACAGCTGCAAAATTAAAATTTAAATGTACAGCCTGGAGTTTATGCCTTAAGCATTTACTATGCAAATCAGCCACCACTCCTTAAAGTAGCTAAATCCATTAATTATGGGCATCTAAAAGGTTTTGCACATACACTGCTATTTCACTTAGTTTTCCCATTCTAACAAATCAAACTCGCCTCAAAAGGGTTTGGTAATGACCTGATGAAGTATGTTAGGGCAGGTAAAACATAAGTGTGCAGCATATGGGGTCCCAATGGCTTGAACTGAGAACCACTGGATTTAATGTTTTTAGTAAGTAAACTGACCAAATCCATGCTTACTTTCAGCTAATCTTTGGATATATTTGTAATTCTAATACACAAACAAGCTTTTTCACTTACAAGCACTCAGGGACAATCTTGGCCTCCCTGCCACACACATTCCCATCTCACCAACTTTTAACTTTTTTGCCTTCACTGACTTCTGCAATTCATTCTACGTCTTTGAAAGTGAGGGTATGCATGTGTTTAGAAGGCAAAAGCTGAGGAAAATGTATTCAACACTTGATTAAAGTTTAATCAATCAAGTTCACCTTGAAGCCTAAACGAATATCTACATGAGCAGCGCTTCCACAGCGCACACAGCAATCATTAAATTGGCCAAGTACATTTGCATGTATGAAGAATTTACAGTTCATGTAAATTACAGTTTATGTAAACACAGACAAGTAAATAATATAAATATAAAAGACTTGCCAAGCACATTTTGATTGGATATCCACACTTTTGCACCATTAAGCTAATTGCTAACCACCACTAGAAAAAAGTTGTGGCATCACATCTTAAGCTGGGCCTGCACTACATGATTTTAGCCCGATTTAACCCCAACTTGCTTCTTTACACAAACTTGGTCGTAAGCAACTGACACTGCGGATGATCTGTTTGTTTAAGAGGGAAACGAGTCAAGCTATAGCATTCTGTGTGAGCTCCAGAGTGATCTGAGGCCTTCTAATATTTTCACACATATTTGATTTTTACTACTTAAAATATTCGCAAGTCGTGTAGTGTGAGATGGTTCACGATGTAACTGAACAAGCTATTCAGGCAACAGCCAATGAGTTAGCTGGGAGAGAGAAAAAATAAGCTGTGGAGTCAGCATGCACACCACATGTTTAGATGATCACAGGGGTACTGCTTGTTGATCACAACGAAGTAAATTAAGCCTGTAAATTAAAAAAAAAAAAGTTTGTTTTTTAAACACACCTACATAATCTTGTTAATGAAAATCTTTATGCATTTGTAACAACAGTTTAATAGTGGTTTAAAAACCATGTACCCTGTTTTGGCTTCAATGTCCAGTGTGTGTGTCCTCATGCCAAAAAGACAAGAATCTCTAGTAATAGTCAGAAGTCTGGCTAGCAAAACTAAGCCACCTATTACAGAACATCGAACACAAGGATGCTGCATTAACCTGCCTGCCTCTACTGCCAATCAGAGAATGTGTGTGTGTGTGTGTGTGTCTGTGTGAGAGTGTGTGCGTACACTGCGTATCATCCTTACAGGTGGAAAATCAATTTCAGCTTGGTGACAGGCACTCCACAACCTTTTTTAATCAGGCACTGAGCCCTGGCACCCTGTCTCCATCCATCTATCCATCCATGCATCTGTCCATCCTCTCTTCTTTCTCTCTGTCCTTCTTCAGACATTCAGTTATTGAACTACTGTCTGCATCTCTCAATCAGCCTCTCATTCCCCTCTCTGGCCTTTATGCTCTACAGCGGGGTCCTGCTTGCCCTCCCTTCATACAGAGGCATACACGACTCATCCTCCCTCACCACGCACGAGAGACTGATACTGACATTCATATGTTTCTATGCAGAGAGTACTGGTTCTAAAATCTGACTGGCTGAGCCACTTCAATAGCCATTGTAAAATACTCAATGCAAACACATCTGTTTCAATTCTGCTTAGCAACCATAGCCTACTTTTAACAAACTACACTGTCAGAAGAACAGTCTAATGCCATTATTATTAATAAATTAAGTTACATTTTAAACCCTGGTGTTTTCTGACATAATATTTTGTTGCTGTTTTATAAAAGAAATAAGCCACTCTGGGCCATGTGTTACAGTGATTTTACCATAGGTGAGAAGATTTTGCTTGGCATCAAGTGGCCTATTGCTTTTCTGCATAAAAATAAGAACACAGATCTGAGTTTTTCTACACAAAAAATTTCAAATCAATTCCATAACAGACTATGCAACTCTAATGATAATGGTTAGGTTACGATAATGGTTAGATCAAAATTCATCACTCTTCACTGCATATGTGATCATGATCTAGTGTGGGCAGAGGGTCATGGCTTTAACATGATAAAATAATATGCAAATGTGGGTTCTTTCAGTCTAGAGGTGTGTTCATACTAGTGACAAATGTGCGTCACAAATAAACAGTTTAAAAGATCAGTTTTAGGTGAAGAATTAGAACTGAGCAATAAGGCTATGTTAACATTATAAGCACACCATTTTTTAAAAAAAGGGTGAAAAAATGCCACTTTAGTGAATGGCTCTGGATGACCACTTTAATGTCTTTAAATCTGCTGCCAATGTCCCCAATGAAACATTTTAGTGTGTAGAAGCAGGGTTTTCTGTGTGCCACCATCACTGTATAAAAGATACTGATTTTATAAGCTGTATAAGCTTGTTTTGTTTAATCAAAGAAAGGACAGAATGAGATTGATGTATGACATTCTGCTTTCTTGTTCAAAAAGGCTGTTTGTGAGAAAAAAAAAATCTTTCTTTCCTTTACAAATAGAATCAGCACTGAGAAATCATGTTATTAAAAAGAAAAGAGCAGATTAAGTGGCAGAAACTTTACATTATCTGAACCTTCTTCAAACCTTTAAAAAGGTTCCTAAAACTCACACTTCTCTTTTTCATACATGCTTATATAGGGAACCAAATATGGATCTTCAGTAACATTGCTCAAATAAGCCTTTGTGGCCCTTTTATTTATAACAGTGTAAAAGTAAAATTATTGCCAAACTCTCTTTTGAAACAGTCTTATAATTTACTGTATATTTTCATATTATATTAAATTACATTATACATAACTTTGGGAATTCATAAAATGTTAACTCCATGAGCAGGTAATGTAATTGTTAGGAGTACACATTAAAGAGGGAGATAAAATATTCTCCCGCAAACTTTCATTATCAGTGTCTGTGTGTGGACTGCACCACTGGCCTTTCATTGAAACCAAGAAGTCTTTCACTGGGTTAAAGCACTAAATTAACACATTTCCATATTCAGATCATTCTAAAGCTCAGCATTCTTACGGAAAGACTTCTCTGCATCATACATCAGGGCAGATTTTGCTGAGCCACTGAAAGGTGAAGGAACACAATATCCCTCTAATATATTCTTGTCCATTCACTACCTGACTGTTCAGTGCTCTGTATCCCTCCTTCAGAGTTCAGTGCCACATCTCTTCCACAGTGCCATCTTTACCTTTCTCTGGCCTGGATCTATACTCCACAGCAGATCTGCACAATATCAGATCAGTGTCATTCTCTCACACCTCCCTGGAGAGGAAGTGACCTTTAACAGAATATAGACATAAAACTGGATTCATCTATCTTCTCCATGACAGGGCTGTATAACTGGTGCTTTATAAAAAAGCTGAATTTATTCCTTTTAACCTGGGCTCACATTTTGCCAGCTAGAGTATCAGATTTGTTTGTTTGAATGTCATGTACAAACAGCTCAGTGACACTCAGTATCCATATAGGCTGATGGGAACAAACACAAGCAAATAAAGTCTCCTCGCTCTAACAGTGAGCATTGAGGCCGTTTCAGAGGTAAGAGGAGTAAAGGAAGAAAATGGTCGAGAAGACAAAACGATGGGCAAAGACAAAAAAGAAGGTGGAGGTCAGGGCTGGGTGATATCTAAAAAAATGAGAAACAAAATTTCTTGTTTCTAAATAAATAAAAAAATAAAGGGATTGGTGATTATATTGCTCCCATTTTCAGTCATTAGCGCTCTGGAATTAAGCCATAAATAGCTGTGGTAAACCATGAAGGATTGTATTGTCACAATTTGACAACTTGTCCAAACCACTGGGACACTTAAGCTGTCTGGAAAATACTTCCTCACAAAGGAATTTTCCACATACAGCATGTTGCAATCTAGGAAACCCACGAAAGAGACAGTGGGAAATCTGCTCTGTAGCATAATGGCTACTTATTGCTCTGTACCGGTTAACTGTTTAAGTA